GAAAAATCAGAAGAACATTAGGGCCAAACCAAAAAGATAACCAGTCAGATGTCTTACCAATATGGATCACAGGGAATGTGGGTCAACAGGCCTGTGCCCAAAATGGGTCTTCCCATGGGGATAAGGCTGGAGCAGTGTACAAAGCTCTTCATGCAGTTGGGGGACTCACAGGGCTTCCCTTACTAGTGCCTCCGTTGGTGTTTGGTCAAGTGAGAGCTCTGGCTGTAGCTCTTCCCACACTGCAGACACTCGTAGGGCCTCTCCCCTGTGTGGATGCGCCGGTGCTTGACAAGGGTGGAGTTGAACTTGAAGCTCTTCCCGCAGTCGGGGCAGCGGAAGGGCCTCTCCTCTGTGTGAATCCGCTGATGGCAGAGGAGATTTGAGCTGGTCTTAAACTTCTTCTGACACTCAGGACACTCATAGAGCCTCTCCCCAGTGTGGATCCTCTGGTGGATGTTCAGGTTGGACCTCTGGCTGAAGCCCTTCCCACATTGCTCACACTTGTATGGCCTTTCCCCAGTGTGGGTAATCTGGTGCAGATCAAGTGGGATCTTGTCCTGAAGCTCTTCCCACATTCCTCACACTTGTAGGGCCTCTCCCCAGTGTGGATGTGCCGGTGGGTGACGAGGGTGGAGTTGCGCTTGAAGCCCTTCCCACAGTCAGGGCAGTGGAAGGGCCTCTCATCCATGTGAATCCACTGGTACAGGAGGAGAGTGGAGCTGGTGTGAAACCTCTTCTGACACTCGGGACACTCATATGGCCTCTCCCCAGTGTGGATGCGTTGGTGGGTGACAAGGGCAGAGCTGCAGCTGAATCCCTTCCCACACTCCCCACACTTGTAGGGCCATTCCCCAGTGTGGATCATCAGGTGTCGTTTCAGATTGTTGCTCTGCCTGAAGCTCTTCCCACACTCCGAGCACTTGTAGGGCTTCTCCCCATCATGAAGCTTATCAGGGACCACCAGCTCCGAGCTCTGGCTGAAGCTCTGCCCACCTTCCTGGCCCAGGGTGGGTCTTTGCTCCTCAGAACACCCTGGGCTCGGTTTGCAGCCCTTCCTTCTGTGGGATCGCTGGTGCTTTTCCTCCCTGTTGGATTCCTGTGCCAAGGTGTAGAAAAATGACGGGAGACAAGTCCATTCTATAATGTCAACAAGTCTCAGTTTATTCCAAGCACACATGTACAGTTATACCCATTATAATGAAGCTCATGCATATTGCAAAAATTAGGCTCATCATTGGTGTATTAAAAACAGGTCAACCCCGCCTTTGGAGCTTTCTGAGCTTGCTTTGTTTTCCCTTACATTTATCTTTTTGCTGACCATTCTACTGTTGGGAACCAGCTTACCCAAGGACATAAGATATTATTGCTACATCTGCTATTGCTGCACTGTGCAATTTTCAGCTACTGCTTCACTAACTGCATGTAGTCATGTCCTTTCTCACGAAGCCATTCATCCACAAAACTCTCCACATTTCTTATCAGTCATGCAGTGGCATTCAATAGCCCATTATCAGCAAATGTCTGTCCTGAGGGAGGATTGATTGTGGAAGAGATAAGGAAAAACTGCCCACTTAACACAGGACAACTGCCATACAGATGGCAAAAAGAACACATCTTGCTTTTCAGTCTGGGACAGGAGGACACAAACAAAATCAGCTGAGAAGGCGGCACTCTGAAAAGCAAACCAGATCTGACAGAAACTGAATGGGACAGAAATCAATAATTCTGATAGTTTTA